AGGACGCCCCCAGTGCAACCCCTCCACCGTCACCGGGGGTGACTACTGGAGAACGTTTCATCCTGTCGCTGTCGCAGCCTCGTACCTTTGAGTAGCAGAATGGGAGTTGGTGGTGGGCGGGGTGGGGGGGAGGGTGCTGTGTGAAAGGATGGTGAGAGGAGCAGCCAGTCGTGAAGGACAGGCGCAGCTTGAGTGGCGCAGATGCGTCCGCTTCCGCCGTGGCTCTACATCATCTCCCCTTGGCTGGGCAAGCAAGCAGGGTGGGGAGATGGCTGCTATCCTTCCCGGGCTCGCTCTCACGCAGAGCAACCGTTGTGCTTTACGCATACAAATTTGGAAGCAAAGGGCTGGTCGACACTCGGGGTTGGCCATCTCAAAGAATTGCCTCGCTGGAACATCAGGAAAATTAGCATTCACTGCTCAATTATTAACCATACAGCATTGGCATCTCGTTGTGGTTGTTCAAAACTGCTACACCCACAGCTTTCGAGAAAAGGTGCTGATTGATTGATTGATTGATCGATTGAATTTATTCAGTGATCGCACAAAAAAGCGTCCCGCCACTCTGCCAGGCATCACAATAAAGCCCAATTGTGGTCCTCAACATACAGCAGGAAATGAAATCCAAAACATGAAAGGAGGTGGAGGCAAATGGTTGAGGAGTTTTCAAGATGTCGGAGTGCCCCGGTTCGGTATCCCACGAGACGAATGCCACTGCTGTGGGTGCCATCCTTACATTGAGACCCAAAACAAAGGGGGCGCTCTTCAGCTGACCTTTGATAGGCTAAGCTACGGTGTTATGAAGAGAAAGGCCATTTTCATTTGCATCTTTGCATCTCTGTAATAGCGCCACAGTGTCAAAAATGAATTTATGAGTAGTATTTGCCGTCCCCATCGACCACTTCCTCCCACCCTGGGATGTGGGTGCCTGCACCCCCCACCCATTTCATGACACTCATTGATTTTTTTTTTTAGTATATGGCATTGAAAAATGGATGGTGGGGCCACAAATGGTCCCCCGGCGATAGTTTGCACACCGATGCTCTAAACCGGGGGTGCCCAATACATCGATCGCGATCGACCGGTAGCCCGCGAACTGGTCCCAAGTCAAATGCGGCGTGAATACGAGTGCAAATAAATTGTCAGTCGCCCCTTGGCCAAAGCGGGCAGGGATGGGCCCCGGCCGCCTCGTGACCCCGTTGGGGCCGCCGAGCGCCACGGGAAACGGACGGATGGCCGGTCACCGAGCGGCTCCCATGTTCTTGGATTTGCCTTCTTGCAGACATCCCCGGCAACCAGGGGGACAAGACGGGCACCATGCTGTCGGACGGCGCCATCTACAGCAGCATCGATTTCACCACCAAAGCCAACTACGGCAGCCCGGGCCAAGCGTCGCAGGCCACGCCTTACGCCACCACTCAGATCCTGCACTCGGGCAGCATCCACGAGCTGGCCGTGGAGCTGCCCGAAGCCCAGTGGAAGGCCTCGCTACAGGCCAAGCAGGAGATGGCCAACTTGGGCTACTCGCTGCCCGACAAGAACTCCTGCAACAACAGTAAGTGGCAAGGCGGACCCGTGGCCGCCCCCTTTGAACGTGGCTCTCGATGGCTCTCCCATCCGGAGCCCCGGCACTCGCTCAGAAGCACGCAAGCTTGTCTTGGAACCTTCTTTGGACCTTTTCCATTTCCTCCCGACTCGAGTAAACAAGCTGCGCTCTCGGAGCGATAATTCACTGATGCTCCACTCATATGGTGAAACACCCGCAGATTAATTACTTGCAAATGGCCAGATCGGTAGTCGTCATGCATATGTATGATCTCATTTGTGAACAGCCCGAGAAGGGGATTGGTTCGACTTTGTAGTCGTATAACACGCACGTGTACAGTAGAACAGGGGTCCCCAACCTTTTTTGCCCCACGGACCGGTTTAAGTCAGACAATATTTTCAGGGACCGGCATTTAAGGTGTGGCGGATTAATACAACAAAATAATATGGTATGAGCTGCATGAAAACTGTGG